CAGAACGCTTTTTTTACAGCAGGAACAGACAAACTTGTTGCCATGGGAATACAGAAAGTTTCAAGAAAGTCAAAATTTCAAAAGGCACCATTTCATTGTATAACTTTGAACACAATATTTTTAGTTTACCTTGAAGATGTGTGGTATGGCGTTGTTGAAATGTTTCCACTGATCTGCGTTGAAGTTCTGCAGCTGAGCGGCGTATTCGTTCTTACTCTCATCAGCCATGTGAGTCCGCAGGTACAACTGGGCTTTGGCCTTAAAAAATTATGAAACAATACAAAGATTAGATTCGCATAAGCTGAAATCAAAATCACGAGTCTGTGTCGAGCGTCCACTGTGAACACACAACAAAGACCGAAGGACACAAATATTGTTGCTATGGTAACTCTTAAGGTCTCATTGACAAAAAAAAGCTACTCGAGAAACTTAAAAAGAAAATTCGAAATATTTTCAAATAGCTTTTAACCGAAATTACAAGTTGTAGAGTCAAAGGAAACAACATGAATGAAAATGACTTCTGGGCTAAAAAAGCTCGATTACTCCTTCTGTTGTTTCCATGGTTTCATTTTCTGAAAATTTGGGTCACGATACACGGACAGTAGCTCGTTTAAAAACAGGTCTTACTCGGCTGGATTTTCTGACTTCACCTCAATTTCAAACTGTTTATTTTCCTTCAACCTTTAGGTCTAATTATACAGTGAACATGTGGGGGGAAAGAACAGCGACGGTATAATTTCATAGGCAAAAATTACACGCTTCTAACTTTAAGTAAACCAAAATACTGGGCTTAAGGGAAGGGAGGTGAAGTCACTGTAGTTATTTTGTTGCTGAATTATCAAACTGGAAACGTGGATTTAATGTCAATAAATAAGGAAAAGTTGATCATCCACTAGTTAAAGGTTTTAAGTGTGGCTCGATCTTTGTGGTCTGTCTGCGACGACTGAATCAGCATGTTCATATTATGACAGATAATAAAGACATAGAAGGTGAGGACGAATTATAACAGCAGCTTGGAGATGATGAGGAGATTTACAGCAGCTGTGTTGCAGGTGGGAGCTTCATACCTTCTCCACTTCTGATTTGGTGGCGTTGATGTCATTATCCAACCGGTCGAAGGTCAGCTGGGATTTCTCTGCTTCTTTACACTCTCTCTCAAACTTCTTTTTACTCTACAAAAACAAAGAACACACAGGACGACACCATGTTAAATCACAAAGAATCAACTATCATCATCATAATGCGCTGTCTCCATTACTCAGACATTCAAAAGACAAAATAAAACTTAAAATATGTAAGAATGGGAGGTAAGAGGGAGGTAACACAGACATGAAAGAGCGATAGTTTACTTCCTGCCAAGACATCTGGGTTACATCAGTAGTGAGGGAAACACGGTGAATAGCAGAGACATTACAGTCTAGTCACCAGGTCGTCACCATTAAAGTCGTGCAGACCACACACTGAAACACTCTCAATCAGATGTTGGGCAGTAAAGCAAATCAGCTAATGGGCTCCAGGCCAGAACATGTGACTGGAAGTGTATTGTGTTTACATTTAACAAGCAGCAATCAGCCTTTTTTTTTCCCTCTTATGTAATTGTGGAGGTCAATTATAAGTCTGTCAATGAGCAAACTGTTAAAAAAAACTCAGCGCAGTCGAATGACCTCAGAAGTGACCAAATGGAATCTCACTCTGGAGCCTTTGAGGAGCCAAAATGAAGGTTGTCATGAGCCAAATGTGGAACATGGGCCCTGCTTTGATTGGTGGCCTCTCTCTGTTTGTGTGTGTGTGTGTGTGTCCTAGTCCAGGCCCCTGTCCTCAATTCCCTGTGGAGCGGGAAGTTTGCCAAGAAGAGGAGAATGGCACTGCTGTCTTTTCACACAAATATCAAACTTTACATTAATTTGGACGAGACAGAACAGAGGAGCCTGTAACTCTATTTATTCCTGATATAAATCCAGACACAAGTGCCAGAAATGTCTTGCTTTTGTCTTCGCTTAATCACGGTATGTGTGAAATTGGGGGTGAAATGCATGGACCCTCATTTGTCCTGCAGTTACCTTTTGTTAGCATTTCTTGCATTCCTCCTGCAGACAAGTATGAAACGAGTGCAGCTGGCCGTCCCCAACAGAATATTTACACTAAACACTTTCCACCTTCCCCTCCAACCCTCCTCACTTACGTTGTCCATCTGTTTCCAGCTATGATCCAAACACTGCTGGGCCTTCCTGCCCTCCTGAAGATGCTGCTCAATTGCAGACACAGGCACATACACAAACATACAAAAACAGAGACAGAAACACAAGAAAATCCACATCAATATACAAAACCACATTCATGCACATATACAAAAATGACAGGACTGGAACAGTTTGTGCAACATACAAGATAAAAATGCACAGGAGCAAAAAAAAAAAGTGCTGAGGCCGCAGCCACAGATTTACTAGAGTCCAGTGACTGAAGCAGTAAAATAACAAACTGGGGTTGAATCAACTGTGAACGAGCTACTTGTGACAGCTGAGTCAAAGATTTGTGAAAGTGAAAAGATTAAGTATGAAATGTTAAGAAACCACACATTCACTCATGTTGTGTTTGAAAATAATAATCCAGAGCGACTCCTTTTAACAGAGCTTTCCAGCCTTGAATAAGCGGATGGACTTGGCTCAGTCGTCATGGAGACACATCTGTTGATGTGCCATGTGACGTGGTTAAAAGTCCAGGAAGGCAAGTGGACCTGGATCTGAAATATTGTCTAACTACTACTGCTCCATGGATGTAATGACACCAAAACAGGTACTGAGCTTATATATAAACAGTTCTCTTACATAGTAACTGAACAAACTCATAAAGGCCGTGTGAAAAGCTGGGACACACTGCTCGTAGAAAAACTCCTACATATGAGGTCAAGAATGAATTTCTATGCTTAAGACTATCAACAATCACGCAGAAATACCACACTGTGGTTGTATGCCTCCGTCAGGTAGTGCAGCTTCAGTCTACACACTTCATTTTTCCAGACACACACATTATGCAATGGTGGAATTACAAGGAATTTAATGAAATCAAAATGTGAAGTATAACTATAATGACCCTGGTGTGTGTTTTAACACCAGATTCTAATCAGTAAATCCATGAGTAAAGTGAATGTTTGCTCCAGCTCTGGTGAAATTCCCCCAGGGTCCTCTTATGATATCACATTAACAGGAAAACGATGTACAGGCTTAAAATCTGGAAATGAATCCCAGCCACTGGCAGCCGCTCGCATGGACGCATAAAAATCCTTGTTATTATAATTTCATGACAGCGGTACTAGAACAAGATAATAACTTGGAAGAATAGCTTGTACATTGTGCCACAGCATTAAACAGGCAGGATTTAATGCTGTGGCTGATTGGTGTATATTGTGTCACAGGGTGAAATCTTATTTAAATATTTGATATTTTACAGCACAAAACAAATCATGTGGATCTCAGATTTTCATTTTATAGCATCTGCAGATGGTTGGTGAGGTAAAAGACAGATGGTTAACATTACATCTGACATATTCTTCCTCTTGAATGGAGCCAAACAGAAAACAAATCCATATACAGAGGATACAGGGGGAAGACAGATACATTTGATTTATGACGGGAAGCAACAGGTTTTCTGGGAACTGTTGTAATTCACTGAAAACCACTGAACCTGAACCTTATGTGACTTTTTATTCAATAAAATCCATAAAACAGTGACGTATGAGCTTCAGAGTGTACTCACATGCTTCCTCTCAGCTTTGAGGTCTTGACTGTACCTCATCAGCTCTCCATACACCTTGTGCGCAATCTCCTCCGCCACCACCTCCCTCTGACCAGCATAGTCGTTAAGTTCGTTCAGTATGGAGTAGAACGACAGACAGGATGTGAACCTGCACGACAGACACACACGAAACATGTTAAACACAATGTGCTTCCTTTCTGGAAGGAGCTTATTTACTTTGTTGTACTCTTGTTTGTTTCTCAGTCTGTTGTATAGGACGAACGATAAAGAAAGGACACTGAGGTCTTGTTGTGTATGAAATGTGCTGTTAAAATTATTCATATAAAACTCTTAAATATTGAATTTTGTAGACAATTGTGAAACCACATCAAAAACACATTGACAAACATTAAATCCAGCTAAAAAAACACATCTGGCAGAAAAGACCTACAGAGGTAAATAAATAAATAAAGCCTCAGGCGAAATTGAACAAATCTAGTGACTCTTCTCACCTCGGCTCCTCATCCTTGGAGCGTTTTGGGCAGTATTTCTTCACCAAGCTCCTGACGGAGGAAAAAGAGAGAGAGGCAGACCTGGAGGTTAAAATACTGTCTGGTATTTGAAGCATAGTAGAAAGACAGGTAGTCAAACAGAAGAGGAAGGCAGTCAGAGAGACGCACACTCACGCACTCACACACACACACAAACACACACGAGAGAGGATCTCAGTATATTATTAAAGAAGAATCAAAGATTTAAACACTTCAAAGAGTTTGCCTGTCCATTCCCTCAGGCTCTGACAATACCAACTGCAGTAAAAGAGAAAGTTAATGATTTAACTAGAGCGCAGTGTGTGTGTGTGTGTGTGTGTATATGGGTGTGTGAGTGTGTATGGGTGTGTATGGGTGTATTCTAAAGGGATTTCCTCTCTTTGAAATCACACTCCAGTAACGACTGGGACTCTGTTGGTTTTTAATGATGCAGGATTTGTGCTTGTTGAGTTGTTGTTTCTAACAAGTCCTGCATCAGTGGATTAATGACAAATGCATACATCAACAGGCATCACTTTGGTGTCTGTGTGTGTGTGTGTGTGTGTGTGTGTGTGTGTGTGTGTGTCGGTGTGTGTGTCGGTGTGTGTGTGTGTGTGTGTCGGTGTGTTTACCGTAGTTGCTTGGCATAGTTTTGCTCAATGTCCAGCCTTTCCTTGACAAACTTTGCGTAACGCTCCAGAAAATCAATTCCCCACTGAGTGTGTTTGTCCAGATTATCAAACTGGTCCTGAAGATGGAGAGAGAGGGGAGGAACAAATACAGAGAGCAGAGAAAGTATTTTAGTATTTTGTGATTGATACAAAAACCTTTAAATTGGCAGAACAAAGACAAAGACACATTTTTCAGATTCAAAACGACCTTTAAAAATATTCAGGAGCTGGTGAAATTGAACGGACAAAAGGTTAAATTGATTTGACAGCCGGATGGAAAACTGGATTAAATGTCAGGGTCATGTGACTCAGCAGTCTGTCCTCCTGGATATAACTTTTCACACAAATAAAACAAACATGTCCTCCTGCCAGAGAGAAAATGAGCTTCCACAATACAACTTCTACAAATGAGACAGAGAAAAAAAAGCCATGGAAAAACTGAAAAACTATTTTTTTGTCGCCTTGTTTTTCCTCTTATCCCTCAATCTTTCCTTCATCAGATTCAAGAGTACTCGTATTTTCATGAAGAGTCCAAAGGATTCCAGTCCAAAGCCCCAGTCAGACTGGATATATTGCTCTAGAGGAGGTACAATCATTTCAACACGACCTCCACTCGTCCTTTAATCCCATTCAGAGTGCATATGTGGGTCATCTTTCAATCCTGGTAATATCTACAGCCGCAGCTTCTGTTATTCTATTAACTTTTCAAAGAATCCAAGCAGATTCTTAATCATATTGATACCCACGTTAACTGTGATTCATTGTGTGCACTAAGATTCGACTGGCTGATTTCATCTCTTTGCCTCCACACATCCCCCTCAACTCTCTTGCGTTCCCCTGGGGAGGCTTTGTCTCTCGATTGTCTTTGTCCTGCTGTATGTTCATGTCAATTACAGACCATATTCTGTTGCCCTATGCTTAAAATGGTTAAAATACTTTCCGGAACCGCGAATTAAATTACAGAGGAGCACACTTAAAAAATGTTATTCCCCACTCCCCCTGTGTAACGTTAATGTGATTTGAATGGGGTATAAATGACACAGTCTTTTAATTTCTAGTAATGGTTTTCTTTATCAACATCATTCATTCTGCTCTGGATTTAACATCATGACATGACACTTAAGAGAAACTGCTGTATATTATATCAACAACATCTCTACCATGTTGGTGTCAGATTGTTTGTGTCTTCAGGATAGATAGACAAGCAACAACTGCTCGACTGGAAAAACACAATCTTTTACAGCTCCCTGAACACAACACGGATACACACACACACACACACACAAGGGATTGTAGCGGTTGATTTGTGGTCAGACGTCTATTTGTACTGACAGCTAACATTTCCACCCTCTTCCCACCATGTTCTGTGTGTAGTCTGACCATTGTGGTGTAGTTTAGGGTAAACGGTCAGAAAGTATTAATTGCTCTAAGCTTCAAAAGGCAAATTTGAACTAAGATGCCCTCTAGTTTTTCATGTTTCATTACTGAAAAGCATGTTTTTTTCCACACAAAGTTATGTTGTTATTGTGTGGTCATGCATTTAACAGCAAGGTTCCATTTTTTCCATATTGGTTCCTTCAAGCCAACCACTTTTGGACAATTTGCTGGAGGAGCAACATTTCAGAAAAAGAAAAAAATAAATTCAGATGAACAGTTTCTCGAGTGTCAAGGGTTTCCTGTGGTATTTATATGAAAACTACTCAATGTTAACATTCTCAAACTCTTTCTCGATGATTATCACATCAACTTAAAACTGTATGTTTTGTAAAACATATTAAAGTGTGTGAACATTTGGAGTGAATGGGATATAACAAGCACTCAGTCGAGGGCCACGGCCCAACAGTCCCCTAAATCTGTCTGATTTATTTGTCATTGAGGTTTATGCCTTATCCCCTGGAAACTTTGCACAACATCCATGACAAACAAACAGACCAAGCAGCCAACGGACATGGGGCGAAAACACACTGAATTACAGACGTTCTCGGTTACCAAACCATCAAACCAACTCTAAACATAGAGATGGGAGACCAATATCTTAGTCATTTTAACTGTGGAAACTGAAATCATGATACCCATCGAGTTAGCTACCATAACTACCACTCTGCTTCTCAGTGTGTGTATCAACACAAACCTGTAACGGAGCAAATAAGGGTCGCCATGGGAAATAGGAGACAGTGGTTGACAGCTGACCTCCTTGTTTGTCCTGTTATCATTTTCTTCAAACACAAAGACAGCAGGGAGACTTTCCAATGGCACTGCTGAGCAGCATTGTGCTTTTAAACCCACAATGCTTATTGTGTGTGAGGAGGGTGAGTGTGCAGAACTTGTTGGTGGGGGTGAGTAGATAAGCAGGTCTGCCATAAAGGTTTCTTTTTTAGCAATGCAATCACTTCTGGATCCTTAACCTGAAGACCAGGTTTTGATTAGGTGTGCGGACAAACTTTTTTCTTATTGGAGCATCTTTAATAAAGCTGTTGAACTGCTTCTGACAAAAATATGTAGAGAAAGATTTCTATATCTATATTGTTGAATATTTGTTTCAAGGTAGAAAAAGGAATGTCTGGAAAAAGTAAAACCTAGGGTTGAAAGTGCTCATTAATAAGTATGCGACCATCCCACAAGGAGTCACCAACTCTTCTACTGTGATCAAGAAAATTTCACTGATTCAAAAACAGAAAACACAGCAACCAAAAAGCTAGAAATATATAGTGTACGCTGCAAAAATGATACTACTGAGATGAAAACAATCTCAGTGATGCAGACATTTAAAAAGTGTCGGGGTGATTTTGTGGTTTAAACACAAAGATTTAGCCAGAAAAGAAAACGCAGGCAGCCCATGATGGACAGCAGTGACAGAGATAAGCAGCTGTTCTGCAGGAAGTCACACACAAATATATTTGAATGGCTTGTTTTTGTCCCGTTTTTATCTGCATCCTGCCGCACTGGTCGCCTCTGGTAAAATGCCTGCTGTCTCGTCAGTCTGTTACCAGCCTGGTCTGCATACGCCTGCCTGTCCACCTCTTTATAGCCAGCGTGTCTGTCTGTGGTTGCGTCAGCCTGTGTGACAGTGTCCATGAATAAGTAATACAATATGAGCTCATCCTGTAGTTTGTGGCAAACTGAGCAGAGACCGGCTCACTGGGGATATGACAACATCTTTGGGCTGCGGGACTCTCAGCTGGTGGGGAAAACAGCAGGGCTGAATCTGGGAGCTGGTCTGAGCTCAGAAATCCATTCTGCTGCAGCACCTGTCCCGTAACTGACACTTTCCATGCACCAAATCCAGTAGCCTATTTTCTTTGGCATCTAGGTTTCCCAGTCTGTTATGAAAAAATTCTGAGGACAGTCTTACCGATGCAGAGTTTCCTATGTATGTAGCCTGTTGGTACTCTGCAGGGTGCTTTTAATGTGAAATGAGTCCGAGTGAGGAGTCATGTGATGACACACAAGGCACGCAAGTTAATGCTCCTGCAGCTAAGCAATTACCGGTCCAAATTAATAATTTAATAAGGGCTCAAGGTTTACACCCAAGCCTTGGCCGCCGCAGCATGAAAAAAGGTGAACAACATTATAAATCAACTTCCTTATTGTACTGGCTTACTTCATCAGCTGAGTAATGGAAATACTTGTTATGGTCAAGATGAATGAACTTTAAAAAGCTGAATATATAAGATTTTCTGAATTCTTAGAAAGGAACGATTCAAAATTAACAAGCCCAGATGAAGAATTAACAGACTTCATATGAGCCGATCTGTGATTAGCAGCATTAACACAACATCCTGTCACATAATCATCACATTCACAGGAAGGAATGCCTTCACCAACAAAACAATAACACTCACCCTTCTAACACAGTGGACCACACAGTATCCATCAGCAGATCTAGTACTACATCAAGTACTAAAATATAAATTACCAAATTTAATTTACATCTCTCTCAAATATCTCCAAAACATCAATATAAAGCATGAAAATCCACAATATTTTGGACTCCACACTCTTTTTTGGCAATTATAACAACAACGCTGTAAAAATGTACTGGTTGGCACATGCCACTGTGACCGGCAGACAACAAAAATGTTTCCTGCGCAGATTAAAAAGTAAAAATGGGTCACAGGTCTGTTTCTGCTGAGTTTTCCACCGACAAAGCCACTGCTCTGCTTTAACGAGCTTCCATCGCAGGGTGAGAGAATAAATTAGTCATTTTGCTCCAAAAGGAGGAGGGGTGAAGACGCCCTGTGTGGAGATTCCACTGTGGAGACACTCTGAAATCCAATCAGATGGCTAGACGGCCTCTCCCTAGCCAATCAAAGAGCCAGACATGCTGGGAGCATTCCATGAGACAAGGCAAGGTTAATTAGCATAGAGAATGTTGCTAGGACAATAGACTAATTACACACTATGGCATTCCAGAGCAGGCACCACACACACACACAGTAATGCACACATGGCACTGAATGGGTGGGAAATGTCAACTTGTCTGAAACACTGGCATCACAGTGGACCCCCAGGCTCAGTCTGCACTCTGTGTGTGTGTGTGTGTGTGTGTGTGTGTGTTGTTGTTGCATCTGTGTTTTCATATACCTCGAAAACAATCAGTAGAGCAAAGTCTCTTCCAAGAATTTCATGTGGTAAAGGAGACAGGCTTTGTGTGTGTGTGTGGAGGGTGTGTGTGTGGGTGTGTGTGTGGGTGGGTGTGTGGGTGTGTGTGTGTGTGTGTGTAGGTTGAAGAGGGAGTGTGAGGGAGGAGAAGATTGGCATTTGGAGAGAGATTTTAGAACACAAGAGGGACGTAGGAAGGAAATTGGACATGAGAACAGGCCTGCATCAGTGATGAACATTCATTTGGTCTAAAGCTCCCTTCAGATGTGATTTACTCTATTTCTAAAGGTGAGCTCGTGATTTTAATATTACCAGGCTTCAGCAGAAGAGCTGGATATCGACACTAATCTCCTGACTTGATTAAACTGGATTTGTTTCAGTTCTTGTTGATTCAGTAACATCGGCTAAATAACTGCTATGTTGTCTAAAGCATGATTTTTTCCTGGATATCCACACCTGAGCACAGAGAGGGCAA